TGCCGTCGGTGGGCTCAAAAAAAAAAAAAAAACAGTATCCCGCCAGCACCACTTCACAGTGAGATTCTTGTGCGTACTTTCTCATGGAATATTAATTCTCCCTTCCGTCTAATCCCTCGTAGATGCTCCGATGCCGAGTCTGACCTTGCAGGTACATTAGAGGAGACTTAATTCTCTTCCCATTTCATGAGAGAAAACAGATCAGACATGGTTCATGACTGACACCAGCTAAAATTAACTTTGTGTGTGTGCGTGTGAGTGTGAGTGTGAGTGTGTACTTTCCCAGAGAGCAAATGTGTCTGATGATGCTACTTAATTCATGCCATTCCCCCTTTTGGAGAGCTTCAAAGCTGGAGCCTCCCATTAGCTACAAGTGCAATTCTCCCTGGAAGTCTGACATGAATTATGTGCATATTTTCCCATTACATGTGTTGACAGTTTAATTGTTGGAGTTCTACGCAGATGTGGTGACGCACATTCACTCATGGATAATTATATGTGTGTATATCGATCTATCGATCTATCTATCTATGTATATATAAAAAATAAAATAAAAAATCCTTGTCTCCCCCCTCGGGTAGTGTCCGTCCCCCATTCAGCTCGGGTCCTCGACCAGAGGCCAGGAAGCTTGAGGGTTCTGCGCAGTATCCTTGCTGTTCCCAGCACTCTGCTGCAACCACTCATCTAGTTTGGGGATCACTGCCCCGAGTGCTCCGACCACCACAGGCACGACTGTCACCTTTACCTTCCAGGCTCTCTCCAGCTCCTCTCTGAGCCCTTGGTTCTCGAGTTTCTCGTGTTCCTTCTTTCTGATGTTTCCATCACTTGGGACCACTACATCCACGACAACGGCTTTCCTCTGCCCTTTATCGATGATCACGCTATCCGGTTGGTTCGCCATTACCATCTTGTCAGTCTGTATCTGGAAGTCCCACAGGGTCTTCGCTCAGTCATTCTCTACCACCTTCGGAGGTGTTTCCCATTTTGACCTTGGGGTTTCCAGTCCATACTCCGCACAGATGTTTCGGTAGACTATGCCAGCCACATGGTTATGTATGTATTTATTTTTTAGGGGGAGGAGGAGGAAGGATGGATGTGGCTCTCAAGGATGTTACAAAGCTGCAAATCCTCAGCTTGGCAGCAAGTAAGGGAAAGTGGTTGGGGGGGCAGGGGGGGTGAGAGAAAGTGGTGCTCTTTTTCAGGCTCATGCTGCTGACCCCCTCGGGCATGTATGTCTCACTCTCTCTCACGCGCACACATGCACACACACACACATGGGCACACACACACACACACACACACACACACACACACACACACACACACACACACACACACACACACACACACAGACGCGCGCACACGCGCTCTGGTTACAGAAGTGCGATTTCAGTGTTGCCTGAGGCTGAAGGTTGAAAGCAACTCGGAGCTCAGTCTTCATAAAACATGAAACACACATACTGTACGCAGCCTCTAATCAAAATGTCCTTCTGGACACACACACGCACACACACGCGCACACACAGAATCCATATGCCACAGGGCACACCATTCTCTCCACTTTTCTTTGAAAAAAATGCTTCACGTTTTACTCGCAGTTACTGCCCCCTACAAAAGAAAGAAAATAATATAAAGCATAAGGATAGGCAACTTTAAAGCCAAAAGTCCAATTTACATTCACAGTTTTTGTGCTGACCCAAAGTGATTTGAAAGTACCTATTTATTTCATTGAACCTTTATTTTTCCCCGTAAGGCAATTGAGAGCGCACAAACTGGTGTTTTCTGTGCTGGTTTATTCTAAGTTACCAGGGTGCACCGTGAATGTATGACACACTGATGGCACTTGTTTTACACACTCTCACCGCACTGATGCGTGTGTGTGCAGTAGAAAGGCGGCGGGGGTGGGGGGGGGTGATATGGTTCAAGGATGGGCCGAAGCTGAAGGTGTCACTGCTTAATGTTGGAGAGCTTTTTTTTTTTTTTTTGGAAGGTGTAAAAGCCACAACTTGTCTGTCAGTGCACTGGAGTGTTTGTACAAGACACACTCAATGGGAAAGAAAGGTTAACCGCACCGCCATCGAAAGTATGATGATGGATGGATAGATAGATGTATGTATGTATGTGTGTGTGTGTGTGTGTGTGTGTGTGTGTATATATTTCGATCTATACATAGATAGATAGAGATATCTCCGGATGCACGTCGTTGGCAGCGTAATAAAATACCAGTGTGCAACAGTCAAGCAGCTTCAATGTTGCAGTCCATATAAAATAACATCTTATGTTTTATACGAGAGATATTATCATAATTCGTCCTGTTATTTCATCCCATAACAGCACTCAACCTTTTCCTGTTAACTCGGCACTTCATCTCCTCGTGGCTGCTGCATCACTCTTGTCTCATTTCCTGGCAACAGCTTGAAATGAAACACAGCCCCCCCCCCCCCCACACACACACACACACACAGAAACACACACACACCCGCTCCTCCCCCCTTGACTAAACTGACTTAAAAGAAAAAAATGACTCTTAATAAGTGACACATTGCACGCGGTAGATCCGCTTCTTCAAATTGA